GAAAGAAAGAAAGAAAGAAAGAAAGAAAGAAAGAAAGAAAGAAAGAATGGAGGCAAAGAGAAAAACATATGGACACAGAAATATATTCATTCTTACATGTAGGGACCCTGTAAAAACACAAAACCAGATGTCATATATGTGAAGGTATTGTAAAGTTAAAAAAAAAAGTCTTGATAAAACATTATATAAAAAAAATATACCACAAAATGCCATTGAAGTCATTGTTGGTTGGCTGTCTACTGCTATTCACCTGGCCTGCCTTTAAGAGTAACTTTTAAGATTCCTTTGGTGAAAACTAATTTTTCTTTTGTGATTAGTAACCAGTTAAAGACAGTTTCTTGGATAGGGAAGGGATCTTGCGTCTACCTCTCCTCTCAGGACTGGGACCTGTGAAGGCCCTGAAAACAATGGTACAGTCTCTGTCCTACTGTGCTTAGAGGACCTCTTTCTTTGTGTCCTCCATCACCTCTGCATTTTTACAATCTTTCTGCCTCTTCTTCTGCAGGCCTCCAATTCCCTGAAGGGAAGGACTTGATGAAGTCATTCCATGGGGAGCCAAATATTCCAGTGTCTCTTACTCTTTAGACATTGTCCACCTGTGTTTCCCTGCTTTCGTTCCCATATAATACAGGACAGCACTCCTCTGATGAAAGCTGATCAAATTAGTTATCTCAGAGTTCAGAAGGATGTTATTAGTTATTTTATGGTTATGTTCCTTCAGCAGAACAGCAGTATTTGGTTTGACCCAGGACCCAGACCTTTCGTGCTTTAGGTTTTTTTTTGTTTGTTTGTTTTTTTGTTTTTTTTTTTGTTTTTTTTTTTTTGCCCCATGAACAGTTTTGTGCATGGGTTCGTTCTCATGAACTGGGGCTTAAATAAAGTCAGGTATGGATTGTTTATTCCATCACTACTTTGCATCACTACTGCACTAGGTTACAGCAGTTTTCATACACATTTCCTGAAGGTTAAGAACCTTGATCATGTCTTTAAGTGTTTCTTGGCTCTTTTAGTGGTCTTTCTGAGACATCTGCATTTACTTCCAAACCCATGGTTTAATTAGTTCCTTGATTTTCTTCAAATTTAGGTTTTATTCCTTTTTTTCCTTGCCTTCTATAGTCACTAATTATCTAAAAGCTGGCAAATGTTTTCTCTTATTCTGTGGGAGTTGAAGCACACATGCTGTTGTAGGGGAAAGCCACCGGTAGTGGACATAGAATATCTTTCTGATCTGGAATGCAGGGGTCACTAGCAGGGTGTAATCTCTACCATTCTCCATCTTCTAGAGTTAAAGAAGGACTTACAGATGTCAAGCTTGGAGGGATACTTACTCAGTATTTCATGGCTCTGAAACAGCAGTACACGGGGAGAAAGGAATGTTTATAGGTATTGGGCATAGAAGGACTGCCTGACAGTGTCTGTCATAATCTTTGATGAGTATTGTGGCTCCCACAGGCTCAAAATGATAAGAGGCTATAGATGGTAGATGCAACAAAATTGCCTTTATTTTTTTAAGTTGTTCCTAAATGTTCCTTGCATCATTTTATTTTAATCCATTATTATATGTATGGCTTGCAAATGCTATTTTCCATTCCAAACTTCATCTTTTATTATGTTGGTTTCTCATTTTCCTGTGCCTTACAGATTTTATCCCATTGTTTATTTTGGAATTTGTTACCTTTGTTTTGGTTGTTATTTTTTATAACCACTGTTACAGAGATTTCCACATGCTTTAGTCTAATCAATAATTTTTACTCAATACATTTTATTTTCTCTTTAAACTTTTTTGTTTTTAAGCTTTATTGGATAAAGTCACCTCATATGTTTACACCTTTATTTCAATTTTAAATGATTTTTGCATGTGGGGTGCCACAGGAGCACAGTTTCCTTATTTGCATGTGTATAAGACTTTATTTCAATCAAGATTCCAGCATGTGATGTTCATACCTGGGGTCCAGCAGCCAAGTGTCAGGTAACAAGAAATAAGATAACATTTCATATTACTGTGTTGCACACTATTTGAAGATTAAACAACTTAGTTGTGGAAGAGGATACCAGATAAGTTTACTTTTCCATTATATAAATACATGTCAGTTACTACCTCCAGAAAATTACATTTAAAACTGGATCATATCATAGGGGACTTGGACCCTATTTATGACAAAAAATTTTAAAAAATGATCATTCATGCAGTACAGTTACCCTATAGTATATTGTATTACGGTGAAGTGAATAACATGAGCCATATTCCAGATGACAGTACTATTTTAAAAACAGATATCCACAAAATTTGAAATTTCTTATTTTTACCTTTTACTTTACAGGAACACTGAGCTGAAAACTCTCCTGGCAGTTGGAGGTGAATATATCCTGTAAGTGCTATTCTCAGAGTTCCTGGACCATTTGAAAGCCAGCTAGCCCAGGTCTATATGTATTCTGTTACTTCACAACATTAGCAAGGGTCTTAAGGATGTCCATTCATGGATGTCAGCACTCAAAAAACAATCCCCTAGAGCCTTAATAGTACAATAGAGCAAACTGGAAAGAATACTCTGGCTTTTACATATTTAAGTTTGGCATGCTATAAATTCAAAGAGTCCTCTGAATTTTCAGTTAGTGCCTCTTCTAAAAAATGTCATCATGGAGAGAAGGTGTGATAAAAGTCTTTTATTTTTCTTTCTTCTGGAGAAAATAAATGAAAGAACAGCTTATGGAGAAGACTTCTCAATTGTCCTTGTCTTTGGAAGGCATTTGAAGAAGAATAAACATGATTAGCTCGATAGATTGATTATTGAAAATGCCAAGAGGGAGGACTCTTGCTAAAATGATCAACTCCTATCCAGAAAGGCAAAGAGGCTGGACATCGGAAGAAGGAGAAAAGAGGGAACAAGTCAGGAGCCTGACACAGAGGACCTCTGAAAGGCTCTGCCCTGTAGACTATCAATGCAGATACTGAGACTTGTGGGCAACCATGGGGCAGAGTGAGGGAATCTTAGGAAAGAAGTGGGAAACAGTAAGATCTGGAGAGGACAGGAACTCCACAAGGAGAGCAACAGAACCAAAAAATCTGAGCACAGGGGTCTTTCTTGAGACTGCTATTCCAACCACGGACTATGCATGGAGATAACCTAAGACCCCTGCACAGATGTAGCCCATGGCAGTTCAGTATCCAAGTGGGTTCCATTGTAATAGGAACAGGGACTGTCTCTGACATGAACTGATTGGCCTGCTCTTTAATTACCTCCCCCTGAGGGGGAAGCAGCATTACCAGGCCACAGAAGAAGACAACTCAGCCACTCCTGATGAGACCTAATTGACTAGGATCAGAAAGAAGGAAAAGAAGTCCTTCCCTATCCATGGACTTCGGGAGGGGCATGCATGTGGAGGGTGGAGGAAGGGAGGGATTGGGACTGGAGGAGGGAGAGAACCACAGAGAGGATACAAAGTGAATAAAGTGTAATTAATAAAGAAAAAAAGATTAAAATAAAATAAAATGCCACAGACGATTTGGGAATTGTTAGAAAACCATGCCAAGGTACAATGTCTATTAAGAGACATAATTGTGGAATTGGGTGAAAACCAGGGAGGCCAGAAGAAAGGCTCAAAGGCAGAAATTGAGTTTTTCACAGGTTTAATTTTAATGTGGGTATCTCAAGGCCTTACACTGACATTTTGGTCTTCCTCAGTTTTTCACTCATGGCATCCACTCCTGAGTTCCGTAAGATTTTTATCAATTCAGCTATTGACTTACTGTACAAGCATAACTTTGATGGGCTGAACTTGGACTGGCAGTTCCCTAGGTCTCCTGAGGACAAGAAACACTTCACTCTCCTGCTGCAGGTGAGGAAATAGAGAATGTGTTTTAGCTACAGAAGGTACAAACTCTGTTCTTTCTAAGGAGTCCTGCATAGTGAAGTCTAAGAGGACTGTAGAGTTTGAGAATGTTAATGTCACCTAGATTCTTGTTGCTGTACTACAGCAACAAACATGTTAGGCATTAATCTGTGTGCTTTTATATATATATATATATATATATATATATATATATATATATATATATACAGCCATGTTTCATCCTTACATTGCCTGTCATAAAGGTACCCTAAGTGTGTGTCTTTACTTAACGTATGACCAACTAGAGCACAGAAAATTTGTAATTGCTCAGCCAAGAGCACAAAGATACCAACTGTTAACTGTCAGTGCAGTCTGACTGCACAGTTAAGTGAATGGATAACTATATGAGACTGTTTGTTTGTATTTGTTTCTTTATTTTATTTTATTTCTTAAATTACCCATCTGCTTTCATTATCATAGAAAAATATAAAGGATAACAAAATACAATCGGACACTTTTCTAGTAATTTTTGTAATTTAGCATTCATTATGAACAGGATATTACTATAGGTAATCCTTCCTTTTTTTAATCCTTTTTTTACTTTTCAAATTTTATCTACACTTATTCACTTTACATCCCACTTTATCCCGCCTCTCCTCCGGTTCTCACCCTCTTCCCCTCTTTCCCCTCCCCTATTCCTCAGAAGGGTGGGGGAGGCCCCTCCTACACCTCCATCACAGTTGATCAAGTTGCAAAAGGACTGAGTCTATCCTCTTCCCCTTGGCCTGAAGAGGCAGTCCTGCCGGGAGGGAGTGATGAAAAAGCAGGCAACAAAGTCCACATCAGAGTCAGTCCCAGCTCTCCTTACTAGAGGACCCACAGGAAGCCTGATCTACCCATCTGCTACATCTGTGTAAGGGGCTTAGGTACAGTCTACATATGGTCCTTTGTGGGTGCTGCAGTCTCCACAAGCCCCTCTGGACCCTGGTTACTTAGCTCTGTTGGTCTTCTTGTAGGGCTCATATCACTTCCAAGTCCTTCTATCCCACCCCCCACTTTCCCACAGAACTCCCTATGCTTTGGCCAATGTTTGTCTGTGAGTCTCAGCATCTGTTTCAGTCTATTCCTGGGTGGAGCCTATCAGAGGATAGCTATGTTAGGCTCCTATCTGTGAACATAACTGAATATTATTAATAATGTCAGGGTTGGCTTTCTCCCATGGGATGTGCCTCACATTAGGCTAGGCATTAGTTGGACATTCCCTCAATCTCTGCTCTGTCTTTACCCCTGAATTTCTTATAGGTAATGTAAATTTTGGGTCAAAGAATTTATGGGTTGCTTGGTGTTTCCCTCCCTCCACTAAGAAGTCCTGTCCTGTCCTGGTGTTCAAGTAGGTAGAAGGCTCTGGATGGGCAAATGTTGGGACAGTGCATCCCTGGGACCCATAAGCTGTCCTCTGGTAGGCTGGAACCATGACTCCCTATTACTGAGATCCCTCCTCTCACTGGAAAAACACAGACACTGGCATTTTGGACTCAGCAGTATGGCCACTCACTTGCTCTCCAGTCTCTGAGCACTTGCAACTCAGACACTATGTGTGTTAGCCACCAACATCTTGGAGTCATTGAGTGTTTGTTTTTAATGAGTAAGGAATGGTTTATGAAAAATATTGGAACTAGGCCAAAACTTAGAAGACTGAGGATCATTAGATTTGAAGAATACATATCTGAGGTGGAATCCTGAAACCATACCAACAATAAAAGCTCATTTAAATACCTGGCATGATAAAGGTAACTAGAGTGCAAAATTTCTAGCAGCTAGTTGTTACCAAGTCTGTGCTATAGCAGGATGAGAAAGAACTTACCATGTTGGTGCTTGACATCAGTCTTGAAAAGTCAGAATGAATATGTTAGGAATAAGACAAAGGAAGTGAGCAAAGAGTGGGATAGAACCTGAGTTTTCAAAAACAGTTAATCTCTGATTAAGGGGAACTTTGTATGTATCCACATATTTGGACTTTTTTCCCCATACTTCAGAATTGTTTGAAAGATTACAGATAGTAAAGAGGTGTTACAACATGTGTATGTTTGGGTGATTATTCAGATATTAACCATAAACTATGGAAAAAGTAAGGAGGCAGAAAGCCACAGAAGTCAACAATGGAAAATAAAATTTGCAACAAAAAAGGTTAGAAACTGAGATATAGTAGTGATGGTGTCACTAGGACCTGGGGAACAATTTGTGGAGAAATAGAGAACCCAGTATTTCTAATAGGACCATTTGAGTGTTAAGAAAGACAGTAAATACAGACAGTTTTTGAATAAGAATTATTAAGTATCTGCAAATAGGCCAAGTGTAGAAGCACAGAGTGTCTTTGGTGGTTACTAACAAAGAGTGCATGAAAAAGAACTTGAGATAATCCACTTTACTTATGTTATCAGCAACAGTAGGTGATCATGAAGCAAAATGAGTAAAAAGTCAAAGACTACAGATGGTTTGTACATCTATCCCTTTGCAAGTCAGAACCTTTGCTTTCTAGATTTGCCTTCTTATTATTTTCTGTTTTCTTCAGTTTGTTATACCACTGAGATATGTTTCCATTTTCAGATTCATTTTTATACCACTCATATACCAGCTCCTTCTCAGCCATTTTAAATAGTGTCAAATTAAGGCACTAAGTGAACTCTAGTTCACTTTTGTTTGATAGATCTAACCATCAGATACAATTCCTCTACATTCAAGGGAAGCAGCTTCTGTCTACAGTTAGGATTCCTAGCCATTGCTCCTAGATCTGCCACTAGAAGAACACAAAGCAGACCACATCTAATGTAACATATATGGGGTTAACATTGGACGACACGTGCTACAACATTTATCTACCCATCCAGCGAAAGCTCTTAGTCAAATGACCATTGATCTATATGGTAATGTCTGTGAGCATTCTCTTGGAAATTATTTGCATCGTACCAAAACAATTTTTTATTATGGTGATTTCCTCTAAAACTGGTATTTGTCACCCAGTCACTACCAATTTCATCTTTGGATTCCTCTAACTGTACACTTCATTCCATCAAATCTCAGTCTTATGACATACTTCATACTGAGGAAGTAGGAAAAGTTTTCTCCACCATGGAAAATTGGCCACAAGAAAATCCTGTAAGCAAAACTTCTCAAGGTGGAGGAGACGGTTGGAGAATCTCTGAACAGAAACCTGGAATATAGATTTTGCATGACAGTATAAGAAACTGAAGTGGGGAATAGTGAATTTTTTAGTATCCATTTTCTTTATATACCTGTCAAATTGTTTAATGAGTTTATTGATAATGGTATCATAGTAAGAAAAATATCAAAAATGTATTAAAATATTATACAATTGTATATACATACATAATATAGTTTCAATAGGCAACATGAATGTGACTTAAACCTAAATGTTCTATAGGAAATGCATCAAGCTTTTCAGCAGGAATCTGAGAAGAGCAGCAAGCCAAAGCTGTTGGTCACTGCTACAGTAGCTGGTGTCATTTCCACCATTGAGTCTGCCTATGAAATCCTCCAGTTGTCTCAGTAAGTGGGCCCTCATACTCTCTATCGCCTCTTGAAATTCAGATAGAGGACACTAATCTTGAGACGGTCTTGTTACTCTAGTGCTTTGTGTACAGGTTTTGAGAATTAGCTCTTTTTTTCTGAATAAATGTGGGAAATGCCCATGAGAAATGATATGAGTTTCTTTTTCTCAAGGTTCTTGGACAATATCCTGGTCATGACCTATAATCTTCATGACTATAAGGAGAGACAAACTGGAGAAAACAGCCCGCTCTTTAAACTCCTTACTGAAACTGACACCTCTCTCAATGTGGTAAGACACTGAAAAGATGCAATTCAGACCATACTAAAGATAATATAAATTATGGGAAATTAAGGCATAAAATAAATAGAACTTCAGCAGTCTTCTCAAGGTGCCGGCCAAAAGTCATTAACATTACATTTAGTGATTTGAAAAAAAACCTTCTAATTAATCTGTCTTTACTTACAGAAACTGCTATTAGAACAAAAGGTTAACATATATAACCACAAGTCATCAGCTGTCTGAGTGCTCTAAGTTCTGGCTGTGTTTCAGGGTTACATCATGAAGTACTGGGAGAAAAATGGTGCTGCAGCTGATAAGCTGATTGTTGGCTTCCCAACATTTGGACAAACTTTCTCCTTGATGTACCCCCCTAATCATGGAATTGGTGCTCCAGCCATAGGCCCTGGCACTCCAGGCTCCTACACAAACCAACCTGGGATCCTGGCCTACTATGAGGTCTGTAAGTGGTTGTCCAGTGTTGTTTCAGTGTCAAGCCCAGAACTGTGCTCTAGCTTGGGGTCAGAGGACAAGAGGGTGGAATCAGCTGAATATGAACATTCATTTCTCTCCAATTCCTACTGGCTCTAATCATAAATTCACAAAGTGTTGTATTGTCCACCATTGCATTAATGCAAATGTAGAGTACGTAATATTAAACAGCATTTCTTCATGGACCTGAGCACATCCTTATGGGTATGCATATTAGCACAGAGGAAAGGTAAACTCATTTAAAAAAGTATTACTCTACAGCATATTCTGTTAATCCAGTGCTCAGATCTGGACTTAGATGATCGTCAGAAAATAACAGAAGCTGAAAGTTTCTCTTCTTAGGACCAGTTATTTTCTTTTTTTTTAATTTTTTATTAATTACACTTTATCCATTTTGTATCCCCCCCATAAAAACTCTCCCTCCTCCCCACCCGATCCCACCCTCCCTCTCCTTTCTGCATGCATGCCACTCCCCAAGTCCACTGATAGGGGAGGTTCTCCTCTCCTTTCTAATCTTAGTCTATCAGTTCTCATCAAAAGTGGCTGCATTGTCCTCTACTGTGGCCTGATAAGGCTGCTCCCCCCTCAGGGGGAAGTGATCAACAAGCAGGCCAATCAGATTGTGTCAGAGGCAGTCCCTCTTCCCATTACTATGTAACCCACTTGGACACTGAACTGACATGGGCTACACCTGTGCAGGGGTTCCAGGTCATCTTCACGAATAGTCCTTGGTTGGAGTATGAGTCTCTGGGAAGTTCCCTGTGTTCAAATTATGTTGTTCTGTTGCTCTGCTTGTGGAGTTCCCGTCCCCTCCAGCTCTTACTATTTCCCACTTCTTACATAGAATTCCATTCACTCTGCCCATCAGTTGGCCATCAGGCTCAGCATCTGCTTTGACAGTCTATACTGCAGAAGCTTTCAGAGGCCCTCTGTGGCAGGTTTCAAGGTTGTTTCCTGTTTTCTTCTGGCTTTCAGAGGCCCTCTGTAGCAGGTTCCGAGGTTGTTTCCTATTTTCTTTTTCTTCTGATGTCCATCCTCTTTGCCTTTCAGGATGGGGATTGAACATTTTAGTTAGGGTCCTCTCTTTTGCTTAGTTTGTTTAGATGTACAGATTTTAATGGGTTTATTCTATATTGTATGTTTATATGAGAGAGTATATACCATGCGTGTCTTTTTGCTTCTGGGACAACTCACTCAGGATGATCCTTTCCAGGTCCCACCATTTACCTGCAAATTTCATGATTTCCTTATTTTTCATTGCTGAGTAATACTCCATTGTATAGATGTACCACAGTTTCTGCATCCATTCTTCAGTTGAGGGGCACCTGGATTGTTTCCAGCTTCTGGCTATTACAAATAAAGCTGCTACAAACATCGTTGAGCAAATGTCCTTTTTGTGTACTTGAGCCTCTTTTGGGTGAATGCCTAGGAGTGGTATGGCTGGATCTTGAGGAAGCGCTATTCCTAGTTGTCTGAGAAAGCACCAGATTGATTTCCAGAGTGGTTTTACAAGTTTACATTCCCACCAGCAATGGAGCAGGGTTCCTCTTTCTTCACAACCTCTCCAGCATGTGTTGTCCCTTGAGTTTTTCATCTTGGCCATTCTGATAGGTGTAAGGTGAAACCTCAGAGTTGTTTTGATTTGCATTTCCCTAATGGCTAATGAGGTTGAGCATTTCTTTAAGTGCTTCTCTGCCATTCGATATTCCTCTACAGAGAATTCTCTCTTTAGCTCTGTTCCCCATTTTTTAAGTGGATTACTTGGTTTGCTGCTTTTCAGCTTGTTTAGTTCTTTATATATATTGGATATGAGTCCTCTGTCAGATAGAGGGTTGGTGATGATTCTTTCCCAATCTGTAGGCGGTCGCTTTGTTTTGATGACGGTGTCCTTTGCTTTACAGAAGCTTTTCAATTTCATGAGGTCCCATTTATTGATTGTTGCTCTTAGAGCCTGTGCTGTTGGTGTTCTATTCAGGAAGTTTTCTCCTGTACCAATGAGTTCTAGGGTATTCCCCACTTTTTTTTCTAGCCGATTTAATGTGTCTGGTTTTATGTTGAGGTCTTTGATCCACTTGGACTTCAGTTTTGTGCAGGGTGATAAGTATGGATCTATTTTCATTTTTCTACATGTAGACATCCAGTTGGACCAGCACCATTTGTTGAAGATGCTATCTTTTTTCCATTGTATGGTTTTGGCATCTTTGTCAAAAATCAGAGGTCCGTAAGTGTGTGGGTTTAGTTCTGGGTCTTCTGTTCGGTTCCGTAGATCCACCATTCTGTTTCTATGCCAGTACCATGCAGTTTTTATAACTGTCGCTCTATAGTACAGCTTGAGATCAGGGATGGAGATACCTCCAGAAGATCTTTTATTGTAGAGAATTGTTTTAGAAATTCTCGTTTGCTTGTTATTCCATACGAAGTTGAGAATTTTTCTTTCCAGGTCTGTAAAGAATTGTGTTGGCAATTTGATGGGAATTGCATTAAATCTGTAGATTGCTTTTGGTAAGATGGCCATTTTTACTATGTTAATCCTGCCAAGCCATGAGCATGGGAGATCTTTCCATCTTCTCATATCTTCCTCTAATTCTTTCTTCAGAGACTTGAAATTTCTTTCATACAAGTCTTTGACTTGCTTGGTTAGGGTTACACCAAGGTACTTTATGTCATTTGTGGCTATTGTGAATGGTGTTGTTTCTCTAATTTCTTTCTCAGCCCTTTTGTCTTTTGTATACAGGAGTGCTACTGATTTTTTTGAGTTAATTTTGTATCCGGCCACTTTGCTGAAGGAGTTTATCAGCTGTAGGAGTTCCCTGGTAGAGTTTTGGGGGTGACTCATGTATACTATCATATCATCTGCAAATAGTGATAATTTGACTTCTTCCTTTCCCATCTGTATCCCCTTGATCTCCTTCAACTGTCTTATTGCTCTAGCAAGGACTTCCAGCACTATGTTGAAGAGATATGAAGAGAGTGGGCAGCCTTGTCTTGTCCCTGATTTCAGTGGGATTGCTTTAAGTTTCTCTCCGTTCAGTTTGATGTTGGCTATAGGCTTGCTGTATATCGCCTTTACTATGTTTAGATATGTGCCTTGTATCCCTGATCTCTCCAGTACTTTAAACATGAATGGATGTTGGATTTTGTCAAATGCTTTTTCAGCATCTAGGGAGATTATCATGTGGCTTTTTTCTTTCAGTTTGTTAATATGGTGGATCACACTGATGGATTTCCGTATATTGAACCACCCCTGCATACCTGGGATGAAGCCTACTTGGTCATAGTGGATAATATCTTTGATGTGTTCTTGGATCCGGTTTGCAAGTATTTTGTTAAGTATTTTTGCATCAATGTTCATAAGGGAGATTGGCCTGAAATTCTCTTTCTTTTTTGAGTCTTTGTGAGGTTTGTGATTGTGGCTTCATAGAATGAGTTTGGTAATGTTCCTTCTGTTTCTATTTTGTGGAATAGTTTGAAGAGAATTGGAGTTAGCTCTTCTTTGAAGGTCTGGTAGAATTCTGCGCTGAAGCCATCTGGTCCTGGGCTTTTTTTGGATGGGAGACTTTTGATGACTGCTTCTATTTCTTTGGGGGATATAGGACTATTTAATTGATTTACCTGGTCCTGATTTAGCTTTGGTAAGTCAAATCGATCAAGAAAATTGTCCATTTCATTTAGGTTTTCAAATTTTGTTGAGTATAGACTTTTGAAATAAGTCCTAATGATTGTTTGGATTTCCTCAGTGTCTGTAGTTATGTCCCCCTTTTCATTTCTGATTTTGTTGATTTGGGTGGTGTCTCTCTGCCTTTTAGTTAGCTTGGCTAAGGGTTTATCGATCTTGTTGATTTTCTCAAAGAACCAGCTCTTGGTTTCATTGATTCTTTGAATTGTTTTATTTGTTTCTAATTGATTGATTTCAGCCCTGAGTTTGATTATTTCCAGCTGTCTACTCCTTTTTGGTGTGTCTGCTTCTTCTTTTTCTAGTGTTTTTAAGTGGGCCATTAAGTTGCTTGAATGAGCTGTCTCGAATTTCTTCTTGAAGGCACTTAGTGCTATGAACTTTCCTCTTAGCACTGCTTTCATTGTGTCCCACAAGTTTGGGTATGTTGTGTCTTCATTTTCATTGAGTTCTAGAAAGGCTTTAATTTCTTTCTTTATTTCTTCCCTGACCCAGCTGTCATTTAGTAACAAGTTGTTCAGTTTCCATGTGTGTGTAGGCTTATTGCTATTTCTGTTGTTGTTTCAAGACCAGCTTTATTCCATGGTGATCAGACAGGATACAAGGGATTATTTCAGTCTTCTTGTATCTGTTGAGGCTTGCTTTGTGACCAACTATATGGTCTATTTTGGAGAAGGTTCCATGAGGTGCTGAGAAGAAGGTAAATTCTTTTGTGTTTGGGTGTAAAGTTCTGTAAATGTCTGTGAGGTCCATTTGATTCATGACCTCTGTCAGAGATATTGTTTCTTTGTTTAATTTCTGTTTTGTTGACCTGTCCTTTGTTGAGAGTGGGGTGTTGAAGTCTCTCACTATTAATGTGTGGGGATGTATATGTGGTTTAAATTTTATCAATGTTTCTTTTCCAAATGTGGGTGCTCTTGTATTTGGGGCATAGATGTTCAGGATTGTGATATCTTCCTGGTGGAATTTTCCCTTGATGAGTATGAAGTGTCCTTCCTCATCTCTTTTTATTAATTTTGGTTGAAAGTCTATTTTATCAGATATTAGAATGGCTACTCCTGCTTGTTTCTTGGGTCCATTTGCTTGGAAAGTCGTCTTCCAACCTTTTACCCTCAGGTAATGTCTGTCTTTGTGCCTTAGGTGTGTTTCTTGTATGCAACAGATTGCTGGGTTTTGTTTACGTATCCATTCTGTTAATCTGTGTCTTTTTACTGGAGAGTTGAGGCCATTGATGTTGAGAGAGATTAATGACCAGTGGCTGTTAGATCCTTTGATTTTGATGTTGGCTGTGTTCATAACGTTGTGTGCTTGGTTGCTTTTTGTTTTGCTGTAGTAAGGTTAATTATTTCCTGTGTTTTCTTGACAGAAGCTAATTTTCTTGGGTTGTATTTTCCCTTCCAGTGTCTTCTGTAATGCTGGATTTGTGTGTAGGTATTGTTGAAATTTTTTTTTTGTCATTGAATATCTTGTTTTCTCCATCTATGAGGACTGAGAGTTTTGCAGGGTATAGTAGCCTGGGTTGACATCTGTGTTCTCTTAGGGTCTGCATGATATCTGTCCAGGCCCTTCTGGCTTTCATAGTTTCTGTTGAAAAGTCAGGTGTGATTCTAATGGGTTTGCCATTATATGTTACTTGGCATTTTCCCCTTGCAGCTTTTAGTATTTTTTCTTTGTTCTGTATACTTACTGTTTTGATCATTATGTGGCAGGAGGATTTTCTTTTCTGGTCAAATTTGTTGGGTGTTCTGTAGGCCTCATGTATCCTTATTGGCTTCTCCTTTAACTTGGGGAAATTTTCTTCAATGATTTTGTTGAAAATATTGTCTGGGCCTTGGAGAAGGGAGTCTTCTTTTTCCTCTATTCCTATTATTCTTAGGTTTTGTCTTTTCATATTGTCTTAGATTTCTTGGACGGTCTGTGTCAGGACATTTTGGATTTAACATTTTCTTTGACAGATACATCGATTTCTTCCATTGTATCTTCTACACCTGAGATTCTTTCTTCCATTTCTTGTAGTCTGTTGGTTATGCTTACCTCTGTAGTTCCTGTTTTCATTCCCTAAATTCTTCCTCTCCATTATTTCCTCCATTTGTATTTTCTTTAATTTTTCTAGTTCTATCTTCAGGTCTTGAGTTGTTTTGTTTACTTCTTTCACCTGTCTGCTTGTATTTTCCTATTTTTCTTTTAGTTCCTTCAACTCTGTTTCTTTTATTTCTTTCAGTGATTTAATTATTTCTTCTCTGAAGGCCGCAAGCTCTTTGGCTGCATCTTCCCGTATTTCTTCACGGATGGCCCTAATCTGCTTGTCTTTATCTTCCTCCATTTTTTTACGGATAGCCATGATCTGTTTGGTTTTATCTTCCTTTAATTCTTTACGTATTTTATTTGTTTCCTCTATTATCCTCTTCATCAACATAGATGTAAGGTCATCTTCTTGATTTTCTATTATGCTGCATTGTTCAGGGCTGTTCGTCTCTGGATGGCTGGGTTCTGGAGATGCCATATTGCTCTGTCTTTTGTTGGTTGAGCCTTTACGCTGACCTCTACCCATTGGGCTGATTTAGGTGTTGGCTGTTAGTTTCTGTGCTTCCTGGAGTCCTGAGGTAGGGAGTATCCCCTTGGCCGGAAGATGATTTTTCCGGAAGGAGTCCTTCTCTGCTTTTTGGTTATGGTCACTGTATGGCCAGTGTTTCTCAGGAATTGCCACTGCTCACCTCAGGTTTATAGCCCTGAGTAGTAGCTGTGGTCTATGTTAGACAGGGGGGATCTCCTCTTACCCATAGAATTTCTCAAGACAGCTGCTCCACTGCTGGGTTTCTTGTTATAAATTTAGTGTGCTGCTGCTCACTAAATTTCCATGTACAGTTCTCTTGAAGAACCTGCTGATTCCCTAGCTGTGGGGTTTTCTCCCAACAGGGAACCTCAGTCTGTTATCCTGGGGCACACAGTTCTGTCCGGGAAAGTGAGAGGTGCACTCAGCAATTCTCTGGGCCAGAGGCTGATTGCTCTGCTCTGGACCTGAAGAATGTGCAACTAGGTTGAGTTGTCACCTGGGGGCACTGTTCTGGTCTGGAGGCTGGGTGCCTCACTCTGAACCAGAAGCTGTGTGTCTCTGTCTGGGATGGCGGCTGCAGGCACTGCTCTGGTCCAGACGCTGTGGGTGCAGCCCTCTTGAAGGACCAGGGATTCCCACAGTTTTGACAGTCTAGCTAGGAATAACTGGTTGATCCTTGGCACAGTATCTGAGGGCTGCTGTAATGGCTGTCTGGCTTTTGTAGGTCTGAGGATGCAGCTGTTTGTCCCAGTGCCCTAGGGGAACTCAATAATGGCGGCAGAGCACAGTGCTCCTGCCTGCATTAGAGTCTAGAGTCTGCGTGAGTCCAGGAAGTGTTTTGGTGCTGGGTGTCCTAAGCGTTAGAGCTGCTGACCCCCTCTGCTGGGGGTTTCCTCCTGCCAGAGACACGCAGTCTGGTGCCCTGGTGCCCTGGTGTCCACAGTTCTATCTGTGGCGGCGATTCAGGCACGCAGGCAGGCGCCTGTGTCCCGGCTCTGGGTCCCGACTGGCCCTTGTGGCACCCGCGGAACCCGAGTCTTTTCCAGGGGATGTCTGGGTAACCTGAGGTTGGTCCCAATTGTTTCCTGTTCCGTGGGGTTATCTCTCGACTGGGAAATCCAGCCTATGGTGTTGTGGGTCCACAGTTCAGTCTGGGACCGTGACCAGATTGTGCTGGTGGGTAGCTCTGGGCTGGCGACCAAGCGCCTGGTGGAACCGGGATCTCTTCCACGGTTTAGCCGGGTGAGTTAAAGCTGATTGAATCCCCCACCGTGGGGTATCCTCTCACCTGTGAAACACAATCACTTGTGTTTTATGGCCGCGAGTTCTGATTGCTGGTCACTGTGCCAATACTCCTGTGCTGCTCCTCAGAATGAGAGTCCTCATGGCGCCGCCATCTTGCCCCGCCTGCCCCAGTTATTTTCTTAATGAAATTGACTATGGGTACAATCACTAGTAGGATATGGGAAAAATCATGACAAAATAGTTCGGGCAACTGTGATGCCACACACCTGTAGATATCATTTAGTCCACATACACAGAAAATTTTACTACTGTGAACTTAATCTATGCTATACACCTAGGCCGTACCTAAAATAAAATAAAATAAAATAAAATAAAATAAAATAAAATAAAATA